AAAATTCATTTTTATAGTAAAATTACCAGCAATACATTTATCATTTCCACGCTATATATCTAAACATGTCTTTCCAGAAAGTATAAAATTATGTACAAAATGATTAGTTGAAGCCATAAAGTTGCGTACAAAATATTTAGATTTCGGCATTAAATAACCCATAGATGTGTTGATATGCCGCTAAACAAAAACGACCAACCAACGTCTTATCGGACATAAACCAATTACTTATATTTGTAGTCAATTACTAATGCAATGTGGTTGCACTATAATAACCCCAAATGTTTAAAATAATGGCTGAATCGAGGACGGACGGCAATATTAACGGAAATTTTAAACTTTTTGGTAAAAAGGTTATGGCCTGATATATGGCATGTTTCGTTATTAATTCTTGAATCGTGGTGAAAATATTAACTGAGAGCTTTATATTTATGGACTGTACACTACAAAGAAAGGATAAAAGGATATTGAAAAGACACACATTGACACATGAAACGCGTCTGGACACACGTTCTTCTCTCGTTCTATAAAACTATAATAGAGTCAAGCCTGGACAATTTTCTTGACGCGACATCTTCAACAGACAGGACGTCATTAAATTACATTTCTTCTCATCAATGCAGTATTCTTTAGCTGGTCAAAAATTTGATGACGTGTCTTCAAGACGTCATGAACACATTTACTGGACCGAAGCCAAAGTCATGACGGAATTCGAAAATTTCCGAAACTTTAGCCTTAGGACAACGAAAGAAAGTATTTCATTGGCTAATAAATACATATAAATTATGACGAATTAATTTTGATAAAAACGCCTGAAAATTCTCAAATTCTCATGTACTGAGTACATTGAGGTACGGTAATACACACTTATTTCTTCTTTTAGCCACCACCCCGTTTAATCCATTACTTGCCATGAGCCTCATTTGGGGATCTTTTAAAATTAAACTCACTACTTGTTATTCCTTGTATTTACATTGAATTGCTTACACACATTGCATTTGCAGAGGTATATTTTACAACACTTAGCCTTTAAAGTTTTTATTATTCGCCGTAAGAAGACACTTTCTGTCGTAATTTTACATTTCACGAATAGAAAAATAATGACTATTTTGAAGATATTTTTTTATTCTAATCAATATTATATTTTTATGTTTTATACACATATATATTTGATGTTCTAGTTTCTATAAAAACGACAACGGTAATTAGTGAAATTAAACATAAGGAATAAACTTTTAAGACTCCTGTCTGCGCCAAAAATGCGCATTAAAAAACATTTGCAGTTAACGGGTTAAGCTTGAAGATAGACATACACAAAACATTCATCTTTTTTGGATATTTTCATTTATAAACAATGATAGTCCTTTTTATTCGTTTAATTTGTAGTTAATTTGTTCTCAAATGAAGAATTTTCTTTATTACTATTATTTTATACAGAGATTTACACTTATATAGTTTTTATTATAATGTTCTGACTTATCCTTATTTGAAGTAAATAACTTCAAATAATTAAATTCCAGTTCAAAATGAATTCGAATCCTATAGTTCACGATTATGCTGTTGCTAAACGTCGTCTGATTTTCAAAGCAATGATGGTTGTTTGGTTGTATTGTTTTATGGCATATCAAAACCTCAGTGGGTCATGTAATGCCAACAAAATTTTGAAATAGATTCATAGCGATAGTTTGGTAAAAAAGGTGGGTATGTATTACTTTTTTTTCACAAAATTTATTGTTGGTAATTTTTTTTCCAGAAAATGTATTGTTGGTAATATATTTTTTCTAAAAATGTATTGCTGGCAATATTTTTTTTTTAAATTATTGTTGGTAATATTTTTTTTTTTTTTCAAAAAATTCATTGTTGGTAATTTTTTTCAAAGTATTTCTGGTATTAAAACCTATTTTTACACTTTCATAGTGTTTTGACCCCAGTTTGGGGGTCAACTATTTACCCATAGCTGGGACCCTAACAGGTGCTACCACCCCGAGTCAGGGTGAACCTGGGAGCAATTAAGAGGTGGTTTTGATGCTCCGCAAAACCTCCTGATCAGAGGCCTTGCTGTTGGATGTAGTTTATCGTCTTACACAGGACGCGGATGTAGTTTATCGTCATAAACAGGACGCTGATCTAGTTTATCGTTATACCCAGGACGATCAAAGCCATGAATTGTAAAAGATTGAACTGAAGATTATGAAGGAAAGACGATTGACTATTGACTTGTAGCAATCAAGATTGATGTGCTCAAAGAATCAGTCACGCTGGAGAGAACCTTCTTCCGACAATGGTATTTATTCTTACAGTTGGAACACGGAGATGAGGAGAGGGGAAGTTGCATGATGGGTTATACCTCTGAATGTCTGAAATGGTACAAATGAAGAATGGTCGGTTTACCCCTGTATTCCATGCAACGCGTCTATCACGTGGAGCATTTATCTTAGGTAACGATCAAGTATCTGTTTATTTGAAACCTCCCCCGCACGCCCCACCAAAAAAAAAAAACCCCAAAAAACATAACTAACTGGAGCAATTATTCTAAGAAATGACCATTCCGTCTTCTGGGGATCCTATCAAATGACTCGAATTAAACGAAAGTGGTATGTCTGCGTCGCGATGAGGTGGCACTGGGATCTTTCCCTACACTGAAACTCATCACAGAATGTCTCAGTATCTAAAGCTCACATGCAAACAGTATAATGTTATGAGTTTTCCTGTCAGAAGTACAAGTACTCTCAGCATGTCAGGCACTGCTGCCATGATTTCCAAAGAAAATACTAGGTTTTTACGGGATAAAATTGCTGGCTCTATTCCCAAACGATTTTGAATTCAAAGTTTTCCTTCACATAGACTGATTACCAACCACGGTTAAAGAGCTCAGTCTGTCATCTTACGGCCATGTTACGTTGAAACATTGGTTCATGTACTGTCACAAAAATTAAGCAACGTTGAGCCTGGTTAATACCAAGATGAGTGACAGCTTGGATATACCAGGTACTGTAAGCTTGGATGTGCGGGTGGTGTAGTTAATAATGGCTCGTGATTATGAATCGGAGAGGCGAATTTCAATTCCAGTTGGGTTCGTTATATTCAATTACGTGCAAATATCTTTTTCCCGGGCTATAGATTAATTAGAAAACATTGCATCGATAAATCATTATTATCCCCCGCAAAATTTCTTACAATTTAAAATATATTTTTCTGGCTTAAAAATAACCTGACAACGGTTGATCAACTGTAGAAAACGAATTAATCGATCTAAAACCAAGTGTCCTACTATTTAACCTATAGATGGGGAGAGAAGAATTGGTTTCATGACATTTACAAGGGTATTTGCGCGTGAGTGAATGTAATTAAATCGACTGGAATTCAATCTTGGCTTTCCCATTTTAAATCCGAGCTGCTATCTATTGCACCATCCACACATCCTTATTATTCTTCCACGTATGGTAATTATATTACACATCATCATCTGAGGGAAATATGCTGACGGTTTTCTGTGGTTTCTAAGATGCTATCAGAACTTTCATGAGAAAAAAAAAGAACTTTCTTTAGCACGTATTGCAAGAAGTAGTAATTCAGATAAACTTTTCAAAAATATAAATTATTATCTGGAACTGGAAGGGTAGAATATGGATTTGATAAATTTTAAACATTTCACATGGCTTGGTGTTTGCATCAGATATAACCAATTCAAGATAAGTAAATTGAACACAATATAGTTTGTACTAGAAATGTTTCATATAAAGTGTCATCGTAGAAAAAAGTTATCATTCATGGCAACTAATTCGGTGAGAAATATATAAAAAATGATCTATATACAGGGTGTCCCAAATATTGACATCATTTCGCCGGCCAATAATTTTGGCAATTCTTGTTGAAATAACCTCAAATTTTCACAGAATGTATGCAAAAAGAGATCAAGATTTTATATTTAATGTTTTATTTTTCTTTTGTTTTCAGGTTGAGCCATGCCGTTAACTCCCAAAGACAAATCATTTTGCGTCTTGGAATATGCTCTCACACAGTCACCCAAAACTAGGCAGTGTGCAAAATTTGGAAAAAACTTCACCAACTAATCAACAAATTTAGACTTGGTACCAAAAATTTAAAGAGGAAGTCTGCTTATACAGGGTTAAAGGATCTGGTAGACCATTATCAACATCAGCGGGTTTGGCAAGAGCATAACTACCGACTTGACGTGTTCCGTGTCACAGGCGGTGCACATATTGAACACTTATAAAATCGATCGCATAATAAACTTATGGTGTTCAAAACCTAAACTGTTTAATTTCATTGAGCTAGACTTAATAGTTTTCAAGATATTTTCTTTTAAAATGATGTCAATTTTTTTTTTTTTGGTGGGGACACCCTGTACAACCGTTTTCTCAGATCAATGATTAACAAATGCTTCAAACGAAATGGATTCATCATACTTCTTCTAGAAATACTTGCAAAATGAAAAAGTAAACAAAGTGATAAGGCTACCTAATAAAAAAACCTAAATAAAACATTATAAAAATGAGTTTTCTGATTCTCTAGAATTCTCTAGAACACTCATCGTTTTTACCATTTACCGAATTATATTTCCTTTTCTTTACCGAAATGTCTTACACTCATCGTTTCTTCTATGCTACTCCCAAATCTTTCTCCTTGACCTTCGAACACTTTTCTTCAGTTTTCAAATTCAATGATTTTTGCATTTGTACCAATTTTGCTTGTCGTAATCTTCACATTTGCGTCTTTTTTCTCTTTGACATTTGTTCACATTCTTTTATCCATTCATCACTTCCTCCAATACCGCTTTCCCTGATAACCACTTCAATAGGGGGTAAAAAAGAAGCTTTTCATTGTGTTTTTGGCCAAGAGCGATCAACTTTTTCTTTCTAAACTTGACGACCTTTATCAAATCGATTTTATAATTTCCACAAAAGAAACAAGCAGAAAATGCCGAACATTACGTTCTTGTTTTATTGCTTTCTTTTGCACACATCAATCCTTCACTGACAAAATCTCTTCGACAAAATAATATAAAGGTAGCTCCCGATATAAAAGGGGTCTCTTATTCCGGAAAGTAAATGAAATAAACTAGAAATATTTTTTTTAGCATCAAATCTAATCCTAACGGTAACCTGATGAAAAAGTCATTTGAAAAGGCATATAAATCTCATGACGAAAACATCGAAATAATTGTGAAGCAGTTCAATATCAAAGTCTTCATTCCAATCCTAATGAAAATGTACTCGGTTTAAAGACAGAAATAAAACGAAATGCAATGTTGCAATTTCAGATTTAGCCTAGTTGCAGCTCAATCTGGTAAACCTGATTTTGTATCATGTTCCTGCCTTTCCGGAGTTTAAGATTTTGTCGTTTCACATTGCTTTCATATCAATTTCAATGAGTTTTATATCAGATCAAAATATTTCTCAGCTTTTTGTTTACAAAGTCGACCCTAGAAGCCACTTATAATTCCGTTAGAGCATTATAACAGAAAATTGAATCAATTACTTCAATCAAGACAGAATTAGTTCATACGTTTTCATAAGTCTAGATGTGTCAAGTCTTCAAGCAAAACAAAATCGCAGTGAACTTTGAACTGTTTGATTCAGTTTACATCAACTTGTACGTCGCCTAGATTCCTAAATATTTCTGAAGTTTGGACCTTTGATCAGATTATGGAATATAAATTGGGCTAAGAACATTTCAAAACTTAATGCTATACACGTACCTGCATACATATACATACATAACTCTCCCTCTCACATATATACACACACGCACAAACAGATATATATATATTTATTCATTCATATGGATATGAGTTTGTGACCATGGGTTTCACGCTTTTTTCGATCATCAGACAATGATGATGGCAAAAGCGTGAAACCCAGAGTCACAAACTCATATCCATATAAATGAATATATATATATATATATATATATATATATATATATAGGTCAGGAAGACACTCCAATGAATGCATAGGATAACTTTGTCAGTGATGTTATGACTTGGGGTCATGACAAGTTTCGGGTCTTGCAACATCATACTTGTTCACCCAAGCGACCCTACCGAAACAGTACTTATTCCGACAGGCGATCCTGAAGCAAAAAATCCGCCAAGCACACAACAAATGAACACATTAAGTAACTTCCACTGCTGATGTTGAAATCACAAGCAACCAATCAGTAACAACCTACGTCACTTCCTCCTCAGCCCCCCCCAATAAAAAAAAAGCGAACACACAGTCTTTTTCTTTCCATCTTAGGTCCAAGACACGGAAAAACCCACATTCGCAACGAAGAGTTTGACACAACAGGTAAGTAATGGTGGGAAAAGTTTCTTACATATGACGGGTTGCTTTAGAAAAAAACAATGAAAAAAATATCGAACACAGTCATTGGTCATAGGAATTATGATCAGAAAGGTTTCTTTCTTTCTTTTCCCATCACGGCAACCACCACCATTTTTTCTTTCTATTTCTTTCCTTTTACCCTCCTTCTCTCTCCCCTCCCGAATAGGAAAAAAAAAAAAAAGACATGAACATCAAGACGGCGTTGTTAAAAAAGGTGATGAAAAAAAGACCCTCCCCTCAAACAGCGACTTTCGTCATCCCTCTACATTCCTCTTTCCTTCCTTCTTTCCTCCGTCCTTTCCAACGGGACCTCAACGCCCATCCGTCGTAGAGCTCCATGGAACAGATCTTTTAATTCATAGCCATTTTGAGGCTTTTTCTATATATTATAAATTAATTGATTTAAAATATGATTTTTTCCGCTACTATTTTGTAAAAATAAAAATATCTATAAAAACACCGGATTATATATCTTATATCTTACTGTTCTTTCTTTTATTTATATATATATATATATATATATATATATATATATATATATATATATGATAATAAGGAAACCAGTCGATTCCTCTACATTGATTACAACTTTTCGGAATCTTTCAGGCGATTTCGATCAATTGATTTCCTAACGCTTTTTTTTTAAATTAAAATTTATGAACGCCAAATTAAAAAAAAAATGAAATAAATGCCTAACCAAACGACTTGAGGTGTGGTAGAAGGTGAGGAGGAGGTGGAGTTGGCGGAAACTAAGTGTATTGGACATGTATCGGCGGGGGATTTAATGAAATATACATACGTTCTTTTGTCCCACTTCAAATGAAGTTAAAAAAAATTTAGTATGTATACAACGGGACATAATTTCCAATCACTGGTTTAAAAGGTTTATATATATATATATATATATATATATATATATATATGAAGAAAAATATACAGAAAAAAACAAACAAAAATCTTAATATGCAATTATGCTGTATTAATGTTAATATAAAGTCAACGTCGGACGTTTCGGTCTATTTTATTTGTGTGTGTGTGTCCGTGTTTGTGTGTGTGTGTTCATCCTCTATCACTCCTATTTGCTCTCGCTCCAACTCTCTGTAGCCCCTTGCGTGCTAGTTGCTTCCCGCCTTGCTTGGGGTGAAACGCTTAGAACACACACATAGAACCAAACACACACAACCAAGCACACACACACATACGTGTGTGTGTTTGTGTATAGGCAGCTTATCTTCATTCAAATTTGTTTCATTGAATAATATAAAAAAATGTGTCTACTTATTGATCTTTTCTAGTTGTCTAATCAGTTTTTTATGTTAATATTTCATCAAAGTACTTCGTCCATCTTGAGAGCTAAATTAAAAAGACAAAATTGTAACTGCGATAAATTCTTCATCCCGTTGTGATAGGGATTTTACAAACATGCGCGTACGCCCTCTATTCGAGTTATTTTAGAATTTTAAAATTTATCCGTTGTTTTTATGTAATCTTTTTACAAAGCAAGCGTTTCAATATAAAGGAGCTGACAGGAAATTAGTAGAAATGTAAAATGACATTACATAATGTTATATGCACTTTAATATGTTGTTACTATATACGCAATAAATTTTGTTGGAATAAATATGGTTATCGACTAAAATGACGTTTATATTAATATATATGTATATATGTGTGTGTGTGTATTTTTACAGTATATTTGGTATTTACCTTTATATATATTTATAAAAGTCTTGCATACATACAAACACACAAAACACACACAAACAAATATACACACACGCACACAAACGCACAGACACTAACACACACAAAATACACACACACGCACACACACATACTCACACACACGCTAACACACACAAAGATACACGTAAACACACAAACACACACACAAACGCATAAACAAACACACACAAACACAGACACAAGCACACACACAGAAACACACACAAACTCACAGAAACGCACACAAACACACAGGCACACACACACAAACACACACACAAAAACACACAAACAAACACACAGACACACACACGCACGCACCTAGAAACCTATATTTGTACATGTGTAATTCAACAAGAAAAATAGGAAGCAGCCTGGGGCGAAGTTTTTAACCCGCCATTCTTCAATTCTTGTCTATTTGTGACAACGATGATGTCAATCTGGCAAAGTTTAGAGAAAAGATTTCAGAGGTTTTAAAACGTCTTCTTTAACGATTCCAAAGAATTGCAGGTGGAAGTGCTCCCAAATGGGTCGGCATGTATTTGCAACATCCAGAAGTAGCAACGTGACCGACATGACGAAGACTAATGGGTTTATTCGGCTGTCGCCATTGACCTTTCAAAGGAGAAGGAAAGAAATCGAAAGTAAATGCACTTAGATGCACCTATAAATGCATAGATGAAGACAGTAACGACAGAGCCAGCCATTAAGCCATCAATCTCACTCCTACACGTCGACCAATCGCAGTCTGTCCATATCTATCTATCTATCTATCTATCTATCTATCTATCTATCTATCTATCTATCTGTTTGAATCTCTTGATATATGTTTATGCGAATCCGCTCATATCTCTCTATCTAGCTATCTACCTCACTATTTGTCTCCCGATCGATTTGAATCTTTTTATATACGCTTATTCAAAATCGTTCTTATCCCTCTATCACTTTCTATTTGAATATGTTGTTTTATATATATATATATATATATATATATATATATATATATATATATATATATATATATATATATATATATATATATCTATCTATCAATAAACGTCTGTTCATATCTATCTATCTATCTCTGATCATATCTATCTATAAACGTCTATTCATCTATCTATCTATCTATCTATCTATCTATCTATCTATCTATCTATTTATCTATCTATCTATCTATCTATCTCACTTTGTTCATATATCATTTGAAATAATTCGCTGTTTTTCACTTCTTTTCTGCACCTAGAAGTGGTTATCTTTTTGTTACTATAAAACTACTTACATTTACCCAATAGCACGCTAAATTATAAACTCGTTTTTGACATAAACATTTTTACCTACAGTAATATGTAGAAATACATGCACTGCGTTTTGACTTTCAGAAAGCTAGGCGGTTAATGTAAAAGTTACTAGCATAGTAAATGAAATCAACGAGCCAATTTCAAATCATGACTCGGCCGCGTGTCTGTTACATTCACTTTTGCACCAATACTCGGCATGAATCCCATGTTTTCACCACACCACCAGCTATAGGTTAAAAACAGAACTGAGAGAACCATCTAGATGGCATTCAGTCTAAGAGAAGACAAAACTTCTAGACCATAAAGAAGGCAATGGAAAAACACACACCGTATTTTTTACAAGATGTCATAGCAATTCACAAAAAAAGAGATTTTTGAGTGCCACAATGAGACACGGCATTGAAAAATGTAAGAATTTAATAAAATATTAATTCGGCTAACATATTAAAACCATGTAGAAATGGTCTCATATCTACCATTTCATCTCTAATATCCCCACGCCAAAAAAAAGAATACAAATAGAAAATAAAAAAATAAAAAATAAATAAAATAAAATTAATAATTTAAAGAGATCTTCTTTATTAAAGTGGTTCAGATGTTCCCCGAATGATGGATAATAGATCTCCTTTTATGGATGAAACCTTCTCAACGGCCATTTGTTTTAATTTCCAACATAACTGGATTGAGATCCAAACAGTTCACTCGTTAAAAATGATAGAATTCATAGTCAAAAAGTTAAAATTAATACTTATTTTCTTCTCCTCATTTATAACAACCTAAATTCTTTCCGATATGGAAGTCAGTAATTTAAAGCTAATTTATCAAATTAGTTGTAACTTTACTGAATAGTGGTTAACAGATATTCTTTGGTGGATGGACCATTTTTTTTTAATGTCCACCATAAATTTTCTAATCGGATCCAAACTGTTTATTGGACATGTCTTTGATATTTATATACTTTTTCCTGAAGAAAAGTTTTAATCCACATTGCTCTGTGACCAGATGCATTATTTTTTTCTGATTAATTATCGCCAAACTAACATTCAATCAAATTATCCAGAATATAATTATTACAAAATCTCCATCTGCAATGGCGGTTAATGCTAAAATTAAAGCCGGCCTGTCCTGACTTACAGTTACTGTTACAGGCGCTTCGTAATCTGGTCCGATCAACTCTTTGTCCAAGGCCTGGATGATTCAACCCTGAGACGTCAAACAGTTTAGTCTACCTAATTTTACTCACAAGACTTCGGTCAACCCATGATATTATTTTCAGACACTTTTCAAAATTGCCGCACAAAGGGATCGCTTCCCCATTCACTTTTCTTATTAATCAACTTTAGTCAGATTCAATCCAGGTCTCATAATCGGAAAACGAACGTCTAATCTATGTGACCATTTTAACAAATGCCTTTCTTAAAAATATTTTTCTAACTTATGAAGTTAGTCTTTGCTTGTATTTCAGCTACTTTCTCTTTTTTTTCCCCTTTCTTTTCCCTTATTATCTTCATGTTTTTTTTTTCGTACTGTTCGTGAGAGTTTTTTTTTTTTATAAATGATTTTACATCTGCGTGTCAAATATTTTCTACAGGAAACAACATCCAGGGATTATTCTAAATAAAAATAAAAAACGTCAAGCTTCATGTTCTGGGCAGAACAACACGTAAGTTAATTTTTCCATTACACGCACGAAACACTAACAATATAAATTCTGCCCTACGGATGACCATAAAGTGTATTTTCCTATAGAGTAACCTTTCTATTGATGAATTATATACTGGGTTGTGTTTATGTAGTCTTTCACGAAGTTTATATATAATTCCTTTTTTCACAGAAATGTTCAAATAATTTTTGACCTCATTCCATAATAATCGATAAGTTTCAATCTTTGTATATTTTTCCACCTCCCTGAGCTGATAATTTCAACTCGAAATATTCATTTTCGATCGGTTTACTTTTTAGGGATTAGCTGTTTTGCGTTTTATATTTTTCTGCGACCTCGCGATGATTTGGGAAATTTTCTTTCTTTTTCAGGCAGTCTTCTTTACACGTTTCATTTCAATGGCACCAGACTAATATTTCAGTATCATTGTTATGACCAATATAGATTTTAAATTCATTAGAAAATTCATCATAATTTTAATTGTCCACATCCCATGATTGTTTCTTCTTAACCAATTTTAAGCAAATTTTTTTCTGTTATCGCAAAAACTGAATCCTCCTTCTTCTTCATCATTTGTTCGCCACCATTTCTTTTGTTGAACATTTTCAATTTTCGATTTATATTACATTGAATTTTCTACCTGAACACTTTGATGCCCTTTCCTGGATCTATCAGCACGTTTTCCTTTTAACCTTTGAACCAAACTTTTTCTTATAAATCTGCGCCAAATGTTAGGATTTTAGAGACAAACAACGTCTTCCACCATACTGCAATACACAAAGCCATTTGAGTGTGAACCTACCAACTAAACCTCATAAAAAACTACGATATTTAGAAACCACAGTAGCAACGTTTAGCGCTGAGAACTTTACTGCAAGGGAATATCTATCCCGGTGTGTGTGAGTATGTATGTATATAACCTTATAAATGTAAGCAACCATACTCGACCGGCAAAACCTTAGGTGTTTTAGCTTGTAAATGTACAAACCAAAACTCCAAGAGCAAAAAAAAAAATGGTTAAAAAACAGAAAGAACTAAGAACATGAACTTCCTGCGAAAATAATCGTCTAGAATCAAAGTTCAGAGTTCAAAGAAAAAAAAACCTCCGACCCGAGTAAAGTAAAATAACTAAATAAAGCGCTCAATATGCTAAATAGAGCAAAATAAGTAAATAGACCTAAAGAGCCAGATTAACCTACCTACGTGGCTCGTCAGGGCGGACTGGCTAAAAAAGGTGCTATAAGAACAGAGATTATATAGCCTACAAAACAAAAACATGACCATGTGACCAAAAAAGATTATTTACTTATATCTATCTATCTATCTATCTATCTATCTATCTATCTATCTATCTATCTATCTATCTTAAAAATCAGGAGGTCAGTTGAATCCGCTATCTTGGTTTCAACCCTACAGTGTCCTCAGGTGATTTTTATCAACTAACAACCTAACACTTATTTT